TCCTACCCCTGCCTGTTTTGGGGCAGTGAGTGTGGGGATCGCTGCCCTCACCCCTGCGTTCTCACCCCCATCCTGGTGACAGCTCCCGGAGTGGCCTGCAGTGCAAGTGCTGGAGTCAGGTTTTCCAAAGCCATGCAGAGGCAAATTCACTTTACTTGGGGGAAGTAGTTAATTAAAAATTGTTCTCCCAGCCTCCCATGAGAGAGGCTGGTTTTGGGTGCAGGGAAAGAGCCCTGGTGCTGCCTGCCTGTGCCTTGGGCTGGGAGCTCAGGTCTCAGAAACATTCACGGGTTTTTTTGAGTGTTTCCTGTGAGCGCTGTGGAACAAGTCCCTGCAGCATCTTTGGGCTGTCCCCATGCCCTGCTCGTGGCTGCAGGATGCGTTCATTGCTGAAAGCCATCCAGCGTGCAGTGTCATTGTCACGGCGGGTGCCGCCGAGGGCTCTGCTCTCCCTTTCCTGCGCCCGCAGAGGGCAGCTGCCACGGCAGCCACCTCCGTCGCTGCTGGACCCGGACCAGCACAGCCCCAGCTCCCAGAGCTTCATCTCAGCTCCGGGCTGTGCGACGCTGGTTCCGCTAAGGGCAACAGGATGCAGCTCTTCCTTCATTGCTGGTCTTGGAGGGGGACAAATATGTGTCTATAGCAGCTGCCTGATGTCATGAAGGCTTGGAAGGGCTCAGCCTGGCGGGGACCCCGTTGGGCTTCTGCTGATGCTGCAAGACCCTGTGCAGATAAAATTTGCCCTTCCTTCCTGCCCTCTTGTTGCCTGGGGAGAGGGGTGATGCTGTGGCTGCTGTGGGGAGCAGCCAGGAGTGCCTGGAGCAGAGCCACCACTTGGGGCTCACGGCCACCCCCGGGGGACACACGTGCGAGGGGGGCAGCCGCCAGCATTGACACTTGGGTGCTGTGGTGGGGGCATTGCTGGGCAGCCTTCTGCTGTAAGCTCCTACCTGTTTAAAATGCATTTTCCTGGGAGGGAATTATTAATTAGCAGCTGCCTGTGTCCGGAGTGCTTAGCCCCTGGGAGAGGGCTGGGGACTTGGGGGCATGGGTCAGATGGGTAGGGGCTGTGTGCTAGCAGTGACCCCGGGGGTGCTAGGCTGAGGAGGGGGGAGATGTGGCTGAGCCCGGTGGCAGGAGCATGGGATGAATGAAGGGGCTGTGCAGCGGCACGTGGCCAGCCCACATCTGCTGGCCACAGTGCCTCCTTTGTGCCAGCACCAGCAGCGGGCTCCTGCTGCGCTCCCTGCCCTGCTCCTGGGGCTAACAGCAGCTTATTACAGAGATCAAAGACCTTCATGGAAAATCAGAAGTGGCTGGAGTATTTATTGCCCATGAACTTCACCTCCCCACTGCGCTTGCTTCTCTGGATGCCCACAACCCTTCATGCACCCATCCCTGGGTGACGTGAACCACGCTTTGGCAGCTCAAGTCTCTGTCTCGTCCCTGTTCCCGTCAACCCAGGTCCCCCGCTGGGCTCCCAGGCGGCAGCGCAGGATTTACCTCCAGGAGCTGTTCTTGGCACCTCCGCCGCGTGTTGGTGCAGCGCTTGCTGACAGTGCACGTGGTGGGGGTTCCCAGCAGGGTGGCACTGTGCCCGTGACAGATCGATGGCTGCAGCTTAAGTAACTATTTTTATTTTTCAGCGGTATTTTTTCCCCCACCATGGCTCTTGCCCTTGGTGCTGTCACTAGCATGCCTGCTGGGACCTCACCTGTCTCCTGGCTCCATGGTGGCAGGATGATGGACGTGGTCTCTCCCTGCAAGGACAGCACAGAGCTGCAGGATCGGCTGTGAGCTCCCCACCACCGCCGCGGCAGCAAGGGACTGGTAAGTACGGAGTGGCTCTTTCAAGGTTTGATCTGGTTCCTATAGAAACTGGAGGTTGCTCCTGCCTGGTGCTGGTGCCAGCAGCCTGCCGTGTGCCCCGGGGAGCAGGGCAGCCAGGGATGGGCGGCAGTGGGGTACAGCACAGCGCCTCGGTGCTGCCGCTGCCTTTCCACATGCCTTGCAGCCCTCTCTGCTCCCTCGCTCCGCTCCTGCCCCTCGGCAGGGCCGTGCTGAGCCCCACCGGGGCTCTGCACCCCCCTCCAGCCATGCAGGGCTTTCCGGGCCCTGCGGGGCCGTGGGCTGGATGTGCCACTCCTTGCCCTGGCAGGACCTTGTGTGGGACAGTGAACTCCCTCCTGCTTCGTGCTGGGTCGCATGCTGTGACACGGTGCTGCTGGTGTCCCTGGCTATGCGGTCTCTGAGGTGACGTTGCTGCTCTTGCCCTCCTTGCTGAAAATCACCACCGGAGAAGCCTGAAAACCCAAAAGGATGTCCTGGGGGGCACCTCTGTCCTGGCCTATGCCCTGGGGGACAACAGCCCAGGGGCAGTGGGTCCCATCAGCTCCTGAGCCCTGAGGGTCTGGGCTTCTCCCTGGCTGCCTGGCTCTCCAGGCCATCCCACTGCAGGTGGACGGCAGGGGTGCTTGTGCCACTTGGTGGGCTCACGTCTCCAAAGGAGGTCGCTCTTCCCTGGGTGCCAGAGCAGCCCCTCTCCTTCCCAGCAGCAATCGGCGGCAGGCTGCTGACCCGGTGAGACTCTCCGCCTTGCCTGCCCACCCTTTGCGGCTTGCTCCGGAAGGATGATCGCAGTCCTCTGCAAACTACCTCATCCCTGGAGCAGGGGCCAAGCGTCAACCATGGCGCAGATCCAGAGCAGCTCGGAGGAGCCCCGCGCTGCCACCCTCCTTGGCACCCCGTGCCCATGCCCAAAGATGTGGTTCGGTGCTGCCCAGGCACCTGCCTGGGGCTGGATCTGCCCCGGGGGGGATGAAGATGCTGCAGAGAGGCCCCCGCTGAGTTTGAGCCCCACTGGGTGTGGTGTCCCCTTGTAGCACATGGCAGCCAAGCAGCTCCGCGGAGCCGGAGCCCGTCCCCGGCCAAACCAGCAGCAGGAGGCTTCTTCCCGCTGCCCTCACGCTGCTGCCAGGTTTGTTCATCCTGGCAGCGACTCGGCAGCACTCCCAGCCAGGGCCAACTGCCGGCGAGAGGAGCTGCGGGCTGGGCCCCGTGGCCTCCTTTCCACTGCTGCCTGAAGATGGCAGGGATATTTTAGGAGAATGTGACAACACCACGCTCCCGTGTTTTCACCCCCTTCCTACCTGCCCGCTGCGAGAGTTCCACTGGCAAGATACTGGCTCCCGTGGGACCTGCCTGGACGGCTGCAATGGGGACAGCGAGCGCTGCCTCTATGGTGAGGAGCTGAACAGCCGTGTCCGCCAGCACGGGGCGCCTGTGCCGGGCTCCTGTGCTGCCCGGGTGGGTGCTGAGGCTCGCGCCCGGTGCTGCCCCCCTGCCCTGGCCGGCCCGTGCTGCGTGGCTGTGAGAGCCGGAGCCGCTGCGGTGCGGCCTCGCGCCGGCTGGAGGGGAAAGGACCGAATCCTGCCCCACCAGTGTGCGGCTCCTCGGTTACTCCAGGGTCTGAGGGTCCCCCATAGCGGGGCTGCGGAGGCCACATGTACCCCAAGAACAGGGTGCTGTGGGTACCTGCTGGGCTTTGCCTGGGGAGGGGCCTTTGTTTGCAGGGCTGAGCTGGATTTGGCCCGTGGCTCCCGGTGGCACTGCCTACCCCTCTTCGAGTCCCTGATGGGAGCCACCAGTTTCCCAGTGTGGGAAATGCAGGACCTGTGGCTGGCTGGGGCTTGCCAAAACGGGGTGGGGGGAAGGCTGTCCCTCAGCATCTGCCTGCAAAGAGTGGGGAGGGCATGGGGCAGAGCTGGTGCCCCCAGCCCCTTCTGACTACTGCCAGCCCCGCTGAAGTCCATCTGTGGCCCCATGGCACCGTGTGGGGAGTGGGATGGGGCGCAGTAGGGATGGTGCCGAACCCCTGCTTTGGGGATGGAGAGCAGGATGGTACTGGGGGGCCACCCCCTCACCCCTCAGAGGGGAACAGGCTGGGCAGCATGCTGTACCCCCAGGCTTTGCCAACCCCCTGCTCCCCTGCCTTGTCCCTGCCGCCCGCCCTTGGGCTGGCATCCCGGGCAGGGGCCTGGCACAGTGCGTGGGGCTGGCTGGGGGCTGGGCTGCTCCCCCTCTGCCCCCCCGCCACACCCCCACCCCCCCACCCTCCCACCCCCCCCCCACCCCCCCCCCCGCTCCCTCCTAGCAGCCGAGGAGTTAAAACTCAGCCCTTGTGATGAATATTTAACAGCAGTGCACAGGCTGGAGCGGAGGATTTCTCCGGGCTGCCTGGGCGCTGGCAGCGCTGCCTCCCGCCCCACCGCCTGCCCGGGCGCACTGCGGAGGAGGACAGGGTGTCGCGGCGGGGCCGCCTGCCCACTGCTGCCCATCCCTGCCACCGGCATGGGGACGCAGGGGCTGGGGATAACTTTTCTGACTTTGCCTCTCGTCGTCCGAGCAGCCGCGGGAGGTGAGATGCGCTGCCTGCCCACCCTCCTCCTGGGGTGGCTGGAGGGCATGGCGGGTCCCCACGGTGGGAGAGGATGAGGGGGCGTGGGGTGTGGGGCTGGGGGTGCGCCTGTGCCAGCCCCATTTATTCCCTTTCCCATGTGCTGGGGGGGGGTGATGTCTTTTCCTGCAGGGCTGGAGGCAGGGACTGGGGGACCTGGTCTGGCCTAGGAACCATCTGCTCTCCCACCATCCTCCTCCCCACTGGTGGGTGTTCCTGCTGTGCCATTGGGCTCAGGGAGGTCTCAGCCCGCCTGGGACTAACTGTCCAGGCCAGGGTACCCCTGGGGCATTTGGGTCTTGGGCTTCAGCCCACCCATGCCACAGACCTGTGCTGCCGGGAGACACCAATGAGGATGAAACCTCTGGGCAAACCGGCGCTGCTGTCCCGGGACCGAGACGCTGGGATGCTCACCTGTATTTGGGCCAGGCTTGGCTCCTGCTAGGTGGTGCTCCAGGTCGGGCAAGGGCTTGGTGGGTACAGATCCAAGGGTCTCCAAGGAGCTTGGCTTCCTCCTGGACAAGGAAGAAAGCCCAAGGTCCCTGCCCTGGAAACACTCCGAGTCCTGCACCATCCCAATCCCGGCTGTCCTCAGGGGCTGGTGTCTCCTGTACCACCGTAGTGAGGATTTGGATGCGGTGCTGCAGGCTGGGGCAGCACAGGTGGGAGCAGGCAAGGCTGCCTTCGTCCTGCTGGTCCGAGCGGCCGCGGCTGGTACGAGAGCGTGGCTCAGCTCTCCTGCAGCCGACCCGTTGGCATGGCCCCTCGGCCATCAGCTGGGACCTCTTGCGCAGGCTGGCCCCGGGCAGCACGGGGTAGCCCTGTGCCTCCTGCCAGGAGCAGGATGGGGAGCTGAGGAGGGAAGGGGTGGGCTCCCTGCTCCCATTGCAGACCTGGTGGCCCCGGACAGATGCACAAACAGCAGGAGCAGAGCTCCGGCTTCCTTGGTGTCTCCTTGGCATCCCCGCATCTGCTGCGCTGGCAGCCGGCATCAAGCGCGTGGTCCCCGTAGCTGCCCCGAGCGCGGGCAGCAGCGCTGGTAGGAGTTCGGCAGCGCTGGCTGAGGTGGCCCTGAGTGACGGGGCTGAGTGACGGGGCGAGCCATCGTCCCTGCAGCGTGGGCACAGGCCTGCCCACCGCCACCCCCTGCCTGCTGCAGCCCCCAGCAGCTGCCTTCTGCTGCCAGCCCACCCGCGGGGAGCTGCGGGAAGCACCAGGGGAGGGCTGCAGCAGCCCCCCCCTCTGCTCCCCGCTCACCCAAGGCTGCTGGGGAGTGAGGTGTCTGGTGTGGGGTAAGGGTCTGCCTCAGCTCCCCAGGGTGGGTAAGGGGGGGATGGCCCTGCAGCAGCTGGGGAAGGAGCCCCATGAGCAGTGAGGTTTGGTCGCCTTGGAGCGGAGTGGAGCGATGCTGAGGGAGGTTTCCCTGTGGAGCGGCCGGGGGAGGTAGGGAGGGTGCGAAAATACCAGCGCCAAGAATAACCGGGAGGAACACAAGTGCCGGCGGGACCCCGGCTGTGACGAGGGGTGCCCTTGCCATCGGGGGGAAGGGCATGGCTGCGGGTGCCTGTCTCCATCACCTGCCCTGAGCTCTCCTCTCTCCCACAGGGCAGTGGTGTTACGACTCGCAGGACCCCAAATGTGGTGAGTAGTGCCGTGTGTGGGATGGGGGCTGTCGGGGTTGTGCGGGGCTCAGACCCCCCGTGTCTCTGCACAGTGCCTGGCTGAGGGCACCTGGGGCAGCATCACCATGGCCGCAGGGCAAAGTGGGGCTTGGAAAAGGGCAAATTTACCCCCATCACTCCAAGGTGGGAATGGTTAGAGGAGCTTCACTTTCAGGCGTGTTGGTGTAGAGACCAGAGACAAGTGCCTGAGCCTGCTGGACAAGTTCAGCCACTGCCCCCTACCCAAGTCAGGTCTGGGTGCTCCTGGGGCAGCACCAGCCTCCCCCCTTTCGCCCCAAGCAAATTAAACCCTTGTTTTAAAATGTGCTATTAACAACCCCAGCAAGGTGCTGGCATGGAGGGGGCCGTGGGGCACAGGGGCCTGGCTTCAGGAGGGACGGCTCCGTTTGGGCAGGCAGCAAGCCCTCGTGCTGGGGAAGGGAAGCATGGCTGGGGGCACTTTGTCTCAAAGCATGCAAATAGCTTGTAAAAGGTTAATTAAGGATCAACGAGCATTTAATCAGCTGTTACGGGCCAAGTGTTTTATAGCTCTTGGGTTTACATGCCCCGTGCCCAGCTGCCGTGGCACATCGGCTGTAGCCGGCGAGCATGAATTGCTGGGCTCCACTTGTCCCTGCCGGACCAGCGCTCGGTGTTACCAGCAATTTAACGTCATCAGGCCGGCGGCGAGGGCAGATTTCGGCAGGGGAGCAAGGCCGGTGGGAAGCGGCTTGGGCAGCGTGGAGCCGGCCATGTGCCCACAGCAGGGCCGCGGGGAATGGTCCCTTAATGAAGGCACTGGGTAATTTGTGGGGCCGCCTGGTAGCACCGTGCAGGGAAGCTGGTGGGGTGGCGGCACAGCCAGGCTGCAGTTCTCAGGGTTTCCAGGCAAAAAGCTGCCTGGAGGAATGAGAGGAGAAGGGAAGAAGGGCTGAGCCCTGGGGGCAGGAGGTGGAGGTGACCCTGTGTCTGTGGTTTTGTCTGCCCAAGAGGAAGGTCGGTAAATGCGAGAGCTGAATCATGGGGCGCTGCTGGGGGGACAGCCCCCTCAGATACTGGTTGTATGGGATATGGCTGTTAACAGTCTGTGGGTCAGCCAAAGGCTGCCCAGCCATAATGTTTGCCAGAGCAGAGCCAGCGGTGCCCATGGAGGGGTGCCCTGAGCTCTCCCAGGGCCCTCTGCCGACAGGCATCATGTGGTCACGCTGGACCCCATGCGGGATCTGCCTCAGGACAAGTTGTGTGGCCAGGGTGCACTGTCACCTGCCACAACTGGGCAAAACCAGCGTGGGCAGGCTAAAATGTGGTAAACCCCAAACCATGTGTTCTGTGAATAGGCCCTAAGTCCTCTGTCCTCCTTTCTCAGTAGCTCCGGTCTGTCCTTCCCTCGTGGACACTGTATGGGGTATTTTGCTCCCTCTGCATAGAGCAACCCCCTGCCCAGCCTGGGGGGCATGGGGGGGATGGCAGCTGGTACAGCCCTGCAGTGGGAGTTTGCTTGTAGGGACTGGCAGAAGGGGCTGGGAGAAAAGCCTGCCCTTTGCCAGCAGCAGCACAGAGGGATGGACACGGCTACCAGGCTAAATATAGCCCCCAGCCCTGTGAGGAAATCCTGCTGAATTATGGATGAGGCTGCAATAAGTCCCCCCTCATCAATAGCGAGGGAAGTTGTCCAGGCAGGAAGGTGGCTCCCACGGGACGGGACGTGGGGCTGACTGGGGACAGCAGGGTTGGCAGGGGACGCAGCCGCCCCTGGCCTCCTGTCCCCCCCGGGGGTGGCAGTGGCTCGGTGGCTGCCCGCGGTGCCCCTGCTCCTCCTCCGCAGGCCCCAGCCACTGGAAGGAGCTGAAAGCCACGTGCGGTGGTGACAAGCAGTCCCCCGTGAACATCGACAGGCGCCGGCTGCAGCGGGACAGCGGCCTCGGGGACATCCTCTTCGAGGGCTACGACCAGGCCCCCCCGGGCAAGTGGAGGCTGGCAAATGACGGGCACACGGGTGAGTGCTGCAGCCAGGCACCCTTCCCTGTCCCACCACCACTCCCGGGTGCTCTCCACCCTCAAGCTGCAGGGTGCTGGGGTGGCTCCGGCTCCGTGGGTTTGTGTTAGTGCTGGGTTGGAGCATGGGGAGGACAAGCCTAGGTGCGCCAGGGCTGTCCCCCATCCCAACCCCCATCTTTACCCTGTCCCACTGACCTTGCAGTGATGCTGAGCCTGGCGAGTGAGTCGGCCTCTGAGCACATCACCATCAGCGGCGGGGGCCTCCCCAGCAGGTACCGCGCGCTGCAGCTCCACTTCCACTGGGGCAGCCCTGCCGGGAACGGCTCCGAGCACACCCTCGACGGGCACCAGCTCCCCATGGAGGTAGGTGAGAAAAGACACCCATTAAGCTTTCTGGGTGGCCCTCGGTGCAATGGGAAGGTGTGATGCTGCTGCTGCACCCTAAGGCTGCCATGCAGCAACGAGACTGGGCTCTGTGATGCTGCACCAACGGGTTCAGCTGTGCTCCCCATCACCGCAGCTGTGTGCTGATGGTGGGATACGGACAGACGCTGTGCCTGTCACTTGGGTGGTTAAAAAGCAGCTGATGTGAGACTCAAGGTTTTTCTTTACCATGCATGGGCCAAGCTGCCTTGTCCCAGTGGGGTTTGCAGGGCTCTGTGCCCCACCTGGACTGCACGCTGGGTCAGTGAATTCAGGCAAGAGTGTGCGGGAGCATGCTGTGCCAAATGTGTTGGGATCCTTCTCGGTGAGAGGCTCTGTGCCTCTAAAATATTAATTGTCTGCCAGAGGAAAGCAAAATTTATGTACTGCAGCTGGTGAGCGCCCCAGGACTGCTGGCCCCCCTTCCCCATCCCCTTCAAAGGATGCTCATTTCATTGGGGTGCTTTGATCCTCTGAGTGGCCACCCTGAGGAAGCGCCCATGCGACCAGGAGGGCTTTTTTGGGGGGGTGGTTACCTCAATGTCTGGCTGCCTCAGGCTAGCCAGGGAGATCTGTGGGTGAGCACCCCGCTGCCGGGGGTCGGACGGGAGTGGCTGCCCATGCTTGGCCCCTCTGTGCTTTCCCCAGCTGCACATCGTCCACATCAATGTCAAGTACCGGACACTGGCAGAGGCCAAGGGACATCCCAACGGGCTGGCCGTCCTCGGCTTCTTCTTCCAGGTGGGTCTGCGGGGGCTCACGCTGCCGGTGGGGGGGGACCCCCCGGGATCAGGCTGCTTGTGGTGCGGCTGGTGGAGCGTGGTACGGCTGCCCCGAGGGAGCGAGAAGGGGCAGGAAGGCTGGGCCAAGGCCAGGAGGTGCTGGGGAACCTCAGTGGTGAAAGGTGCCATGACCCCCCCGCCGGCTTTGTGCAAGAGGGTGCTGGCTGGGAGCTCGCCCATCCCCACCGCTGCTCTGCGGCAGTGCGGGGCCGGGGCCGGCTCTGCCTGCGGATGCTCGGCGCTGCCGGATGACCCGGCCCTGCCCTGCCCCAGCCGCTTATTCTCCCCTTCTGCAGGTCTCCGAAATCCCTAACACCAACTACAACACCATCGTGGCCGGGCTGAGGAACGTCTCCCACACTGGTGAGTCGCCTCCTCGCTGGGGCAGGGGTGGAAAGGGGAGAGACCCTGGTGCAGGAGGGCAGGGCTGTGCCCCGGTGGGTTGGGTGGGGGGGACCTGCCGGTCCGTGGGGCCATCTGTCTGATGGGAAACTGATGGGGGTGGCCCTGCTGTCCCCACCATGTCCCTGGCACGGGATGGGCTGAGGGCCGATGTCTCACCCCGCAGGGGACTCCGTGGATTTGGCCTCCACTTTCCGCCTCAGCACCCTGCTGCCACGCACCAGCCAGCTCTCAAGGTACTACCGCTACCAGGGCTCCCTCACCACCCCTGACTGCAGTGAGGTTGTCGTCTGGACCGTGTTCGAGGAGCCGGTGGAGATCGGCCGGGAGCAGGTACCAGCATGCACAGCCCCACACTCCGGCGCCCAAACTGCCTAGGGGGCCCCTCTCCTCGCCCTTCCCGACCCCTAAGCAAGAGCACAGGGAAAGTCATCTCTATAATAATGCTCCTGGCAACCTGGCAATTAATTAATTTTATGAGGGATAAGTAACAGAGCCATGGCCACCTGCCAGTGGGGAGAAATCTCATCTGCAGAGCTCTCCCACCCAGTCCCGGTATTCAGAAAGCAAAATGGGAGCGGAGGTCAGGGGAGGCTCCAAGAAGATGGATGGATGGATGGATGGATGGATGGATGGATGGATGGATGGATGGATGGATGGATGGATGGATGGATGGATGGATGGAGTATGTTCTCCTCTGCTGCCCAAGCATCTTAGTAGACGTATTTCCTTGAGGGTGTCATGGGCCACCTGCTCTTTAAGTGCTCAACACAGGCAGTGAAACATGATTAGCTCCTCTAAAACTCAAGAGCCGATCTTTGCAAGGCCCTGGCTCACATACTTATCCTCTGGGTCTGGTTTTGGGAGAGCAGTGAGGGGTGGGGGGGACACACCCGCTGGCGTGGGGCCACGCCATAGGTGCCATGCCACCGGCTGCGGGGCAGCACAGAAGAGTGCTCACAAGTGGGTGGGGGCTCAGGGTGCCCAGCGAAGCGGCTGCCCACCCCTGCCTCTCCCCCTGCGCAGCTGCGGGCATTCGTCAGCACCCTCCACTTCCCGGCCGCCGGCCCCGTGCTCCTAAAAATGACTAACAACTTCCGCCCGCCGCAGCCCCTCCGCAGCCGGAAGGTCTTCGCCTCCCGGGCGGCCACAGCCAGCGGCGGGTCCCCGTGCAGGGGCCGCTGCCAGCTCCTCTCCCTCCTGCTCCTGCTAGCCCTGCTCGGCCCCTTCTCACCAACCCCATAGGGTCTGGCCCAGCCTTTCACCGGTCTCCACATGAGCATCGCCCCGCTGCAACGGTGATGGGAAGGCAACACGTCTGGTTCATGGGTAAACAGGAAAAAAAAAAAAAAAAAAACAAATAAAGCGCGTCAAGACCTCGGCTAGGCAAAGATTTTGCATACCTGGATCTCTGCAGAGGTGAATCTCTGCAAGCCCCAAGCCTCCCTGTGATGCCTCTGTAGCCAGGCGGTGGGAGCCACGAGGAGGGGATGCTGGAGGGGCTGGAATAAAGCCGAGGTCCTCACTGGTGGCTGTGTGTCGCTGCCTCTTTGGCTCTGTGTCCCTTCTGCGCTCCTGAGGCAGGGTGCTGGGTGCAGGGGTGTGGGATTAGTGGGGAGGGAGCTGGGGGACAGTGACTGGGTGGCACTCAGGAATACTGGCCCTGCACATGGCTGTGTAGGTGGGCGTGAGACTCCCCCTCTCCTCCTTGTGCAACAAATCCCCAGGGCCAAATCCTGACCCTGCATGCAACTTGGGGTCCTTGCAGACTCTGTGCTTGCTTTCCCCAGGGTTGGGGCTGGCTGATGGAGGGACAGGGCTGTCCCCAAGGACACAGCACCCGTCAGTGCCCTGGGGCAGGATGCAGGGAACTCATAGCTCTTTCCACAGAGCTAATTTTATGCTGGCAGAAATAGCTGCAGCTGCCGGCACTGCTCCTGTGCTGCCTGGCAAGGTGGAGGCAGACCCAGGGCCTGGGCGAATGGGGTGGTTCATAATTAATGTGCTGAAGCTCCAGGCATGTTCCCGTCTCCTCCTGAATTATGGGTGTAAGAGCACAGGTTGTTATCTGAGAGCAGAGTGGGGCGGGTTGAGGTTTTTATAATTTCTGGAGGGAAACTGCTGCCAGTGCAGAGCTCCAGCCCAGCCCAAGGCACGGCTGCGGCACCCATGGGTGCAGGGGCCTGATCATCCTCCTGGCACGAGGCTTGGGGTCCCTCTGTTGCCCACAGCGGGGAAGAGATATCTCCAGGGGGTGAAGGGCCGAAGATCCCCTGATAACCCTGCCGGGGTGCTCACAGGCCCCTGGGGGTGCTGGGGCTCTATAAATCCAGCCCAGAGCTCAGGTGTGGGGGGTCTCGGAGCAGCCACGCTGGTCTGGAGGGGGGAAGGCAGAGCTGGTGCTCGTGCCCTGGGGTGCCGGGTGCCGCTGGGCGTGCAGCACACGCAGGATGCTGAGCGTGGGGTCCCGTGTGCTGCCGCAGCCTCTTGCCACCGGCGTGGTGGTGGTGGTGGCCATCACCCAGCTCGGGAATTCCCGCCGGGCTCCGGCCACCGCCGGCTGGAAGCAGCGGCCCCACTCGGGACCCGTGTGCCCACGTTTCATTAAGGCTCTTGCCCGTACGGGTAACGGCCCTGGCCGCCTGCTCAGGCCGGGGGGAGCCGGCGGGATGGGCCCGGGCAACCTGGGCTGTCCCCACCCGTGTGTCCGTCCCCCCGCCACCCGGCAGATCCTTTCTGTTTGCCTGCCTGCCTCCGCGCCCAGGTGCCGCCGCGGGGGACACGGGACACGCGGGACACGCCGGGCCGCCGCGCGGCCGCCAGGGGGCGCCCGCCTGCTGGCTGTGCTTCCCGCCCCGCTCCCCACTGCCACCCGCGTCCTCGTGCTCCCTGCGCCCCCCCACGTCCCCTCCACTGCGCCCTCTGTTCCCCCCCCCCCCACTGTGTCCCATCACGTCCCCTCGTGCGTCCTCGCACCCCTTGTCCCCCCCCACACGTTCCCCCTGTGACCTCCATGCCGTGTCCCCGTGTCCCACCGTTCCTCGCTGTGCCCCGGTACCCCCTAGCCACCCCCGCCCACCCCCCCGCGTGGCCCAGCCCCTCGCACCCACGGGCTGCGGGACGGCTGCCTCATGAATGTGCCGGGGTCAGCCATGGTAAGCCCCAAACGGCTGCAGCCTCCCCCCCCACCCCGGCCCACTCCAGTGACGGGCTGGGGTGTGAGGGGCACCCGGGCAGTGGGGCCCGTCCATCCAGGGCACAAGGCTGTAGCTCTCCCAGAGCAGCAGGGGACCAAAACTCCCGGCCGGAGCCCTGGGAGCAGACACCCCTGTGTGCGGGGTCCCCGCTCCCTGGGGGACCCATCCCTGCTGGCTGCGGGCCCCTGGCAGAGGATGGTGGTGGCACCAGGCAGGATTTGTACCGCCAGACAGCAAAACCACCCTGAGGGCTCAGCACACACTCTGCCGCCTGCTGGGACCCCAAATTTGTGGAGGTGCTATGCCTCCCACTGAGAACACTGGGCTTCCCTTGGGAAAAGGCCCTAGACCCTCACCCCCCGCCAAGAGCTTTTGCTGAAATGGGGCCGAAAAATGGCTTTTCCCACCTTCCGCCCTCCCCGCGGCACAGCCGGGCAGCAATGCTCTGGGTGCCACGTACTGGAAAGTTTGTGCCGAAGAAGCGGTGCGTGCTGGGGCCGGGGCTATTCCTGGCTCCCAGCTGGTGTTTGGCCAAAGCGGGCTCTTGTTTTCGACCGGACTGTAATTTTAGCAAAGGCTGTTCCCGAGCAGCGGGGCTGTGGTCGGCACAGCTGCCCGGGGTCAGCTGGCCCAGCTGGGGGGCTGGCGATGCGTGTCGGCATCCCCCCTGCCCATGGCCGGCCCGGGGTGTCCCGCCAAAAGTGCCCCAAACATAGCAGAAATGCGTAAACCCGATGTTCTTCCACCACGGTGGTAGTAGAGGGGAGAAGGCTGGGGCTCCGCTGCGGCTGGGGCTGGCGGCGTTTGCTCAGGGCGGGGAGGCTGCTGGTGAGGGTGGCACTGGTCGGGGTGCAGGATCCCACCCCGGGGTGCATTCCCCTCCAGTCCCCCCCTGACCCCGGCACTGGCTGCAAAAGCTGTGGCGCTGCTACTGCTCACCCCGGCAGGCCGTGGAGGGAGAGAAAACCAAATTTGGCTTAAAGCCCTCCCTACCTGGTTGAGTCAAACCCTTCTGTTCCCTCCTGAGGGCCTGGTGGGGACCACGGCAGCCACCTCCATCACACTCATCAGCCATCACTGCCACGCTGCCACTAATGTTCCCTAGCTAGAAATTTCTTAACATTAAGCTAAAAAAAAAATCCATCTTGGGTGTCCTAATAAGGGCTGAAACTTAACGGCCATATTTCTCCAGACGGGCAGTACCCTCTGTGATAAAACCTCGCCATCAACACACCTGCCTGGGGAGACGTGGCTGTTTACAGCAAATATGGGCAGAAAACAAGGGTTTGCTTGGTCCCCAGACCAGGGCTGAAGCTCTGCTGGGAGTTTTATTTTATTATCATGCTAAACTGGAGATGATAAATATTTTGACACAGCTGAAAGGTGTTTATTTTTGAGTTGGTTCAGCTTGTTTATAAGGTGTTTACAAGCCCGGGCGTTTATCTTTGGGGCTGTTTACCTCTCCCAGGCTGTGGTGAGGGTTTAATACACATCTAAATAAACCTGCTGTGGGGGGTCTGGCCACCCCTCCCAGTGCCTTCCTGTCAGCCGCCAGCTGCGTACGGTGGCGGTTGCTGTTTTCACAGAGATATGCAAATATTCTTGTCTTTGCAAGTGGGCTTGATTGCTCAGGTTGTGTCTTCGACCAAGCCAGCCTCAAACATTTATTTATTTTGTTTAATTCCCTTTCAATTGCAGGGCGATAAACCTTGGCCTTGGGCTCTCTGGTTGTCCCTATCTGGGGCTTTGGCCTTGGGCTCCCCAGGGTGTGTTTGATAGTATTTTATAATTCATAACTTGTATTCTGTAATTTATAACCTGTATTTTAATAATTTATAACCTGTATTTTATTTCCCAGATTCAGGAAAATTTGCCCCATATTGTGGGAGTCTGGAAGCTGTCTCATGCATCTTGTGGCAGGTCAGACTGATGGACAAGACCAGCTAAGGGGCTGCCCGGCATGTGGCAGGGACTGATCAGTTTAATTCACTTAACGAGAGAGGATTTAGGGTGACCTGGCAGCAAGGTGGCAGGAGGAGGCCCTGGGCTGGTCTCCCTGTGGTGGTGGCACAAGGGGACAAGGCCACAAGCTGAGCAGTGTCAGGATCAGCCCTGGCCCTGGACCCCATACGGGTGGGGTCAGCAGTAACCAGCCTGGGGGGAAGGGGATCCCTGGGAGGGGTCTGTGGGTGTGTGCGCATACATGTGCAAGCGCGTGTGCACATATCTGTGTGTGCAGCAACGGGGAACCCCCCCCACCAGGGCAGGGACCCCTCTGCCAGGCGAGACCCCGCCGGGGAGGGTCCTGCCAGGGACCCTCCAGGAGACAGGAGGGGACACGCACCCCACCATGGCATGCAGCCCCACTGGCCTCAGCACCAGCCCCCAGTGGGGCCCTGGTGTGTCATGTCCCCCCGCCCCTCCGCCCTGCCAATTTTGGGCAATTTGGCCCCAAACCCTGTCCCCCACCGCGGTGGCTGACGGCCCCACAGGGTGACAGCCCGGTGAGGCAGGGACAAAGCTCACCGCAGCAAAGCGCTGGCAGCCATCTCAGGGCCTGGGGGGCTCGGGGCTCAGCCGCGTGGCACCCACTCGCCTTCACACGTCAGCACCCACTGGAAACGGTTTCGCTTCCTTATTTCGGGCCCCCTTTCGAGTTTCTGATTGGAGACTGTGGCGGGCGAGGAGTAAATTTAGCTGGGGGATGCCCCGCAGCCACACAGCTGCATGGTGGTGCTGGCTGGGGGGGGTTGGGGGGGGCAGAGCTGGCGTGGCACAGCCTGGGCTCTGCACAGCCTTTCCCCAAACCCTTCGGAAAAGGCGGTTATGTGAGCGGGGGGGATGTCAGGGTGGGGTGCAGGAGCCAACAGCCACCCCTCCGGGTGCTCAGGGCTGCACCCCCCCCAGCTTAGGCAGGGCAGAGGCTGTTGGGTATCTCCTGATATTTGGCACAACCACAGAGCTAAAGCCGGGGATACTCATGCCGTCCCCTCATGGTCACCCCAGCAAGATCTGGCTCTGCCCTGCTCCCCCCAGCCTGGGCTGGGGCTATTCTCAGCCCCAGCTCTTGCTTTCGAGTTTCAGCCCGTTGCCTCCAGGAACGGCGGCTCTTTGGGTGGCTGCAGCTGCTGCAAGGAGGCCAGGCGGGACACCCCCATCCCCTCCGGCTGCGCCACGTCGCCCATGTCTCCCCAGATGAGGTGTTTCATCAGCCCCAGGTGCACTCGCTCTACTCCTGCCACATCCCCACAATGGGACACCCTAAATCATAGAATAATAGAATCATAGAATCATAATCATAAAATGGTTTGGGTTGGAAGGTACCTTAAAGATC